TACAATACAATATGTGAACCAGTAATAAGGAGTGCTAGAGAAAAGCAATGAATAACAAAAAAATTGCAATATAAGCTTTGGTAAAAAATGCAATAATAATAACAGAAAAATTGCAATATGAGCACTGCTAAAAAATGTAGCTGAGACATTAGGTTTATAAGTCCCAAAAATTTATACCCAGATATCCTCAAGGACACATGGTCCACTGGATAAAGACATTGGTTAGATCCAGTGTCTTGACCCAAACTTGGAGAGTTAAGTTAAAGGGATAATAACTGAGACATCCGGAAGAGGCATGGCACGTGGAACTAGAACAATCTGCCCCAGTGGATGAAAAAAAGGGTTTGGTTCAAAATTCCAGTCACCTGAAGATGGCCGGAGTGTACAACAGCCAAAACGTTGTAAATGGGGCAATGAAGATGAGGATAATAGTCTGAATAATGTAAATAAGGTAAACTTTCATGGTAATTGTTCTGATGAACTGTCCTCTATGGAACCTAGACTTTATGAAGATAAGCATAGTACTAGATTGGCAGCAAAGACAGTTTGATTTACAGTTCGATTGGCCAGATGTAACAGTAAGTTCTATACTAATAGTTGATTCTCTCACACTCTCCAGCCAAGTTTGATCTTCAAAAATTTAAATGCAATGTCACTCATTATCTACTGTCTTCTTGATTCTTCTTCTTTTATTGATCTCACTCCTTAATAATGTTTTTCTCTTTCTTATTCTTTCACACTCAGTAACCCCTAGTGTCTTAGTGGCTTAATTGCCTTGCTTGGGATGAAATGATTAAAATACATATATATTGTAATCATTTCACCCCATATATATATATATAAATATCTGATGCGATGAAAACAAAAGTAATATATAAATTCTAACGTTCACAGCATTAATCCAAAAGAGGGCTCAATACTGATAGTAGAACAATAATTAATTATTTATTTATAATTTTATGATATAGACAAAACCATTTTACTTTCTAAAAAGATGCAACTTTGTTTCAGTGCATTTCAACTGCACTTCGACGGGTCAGAACCGAAAATGACCATTTTCAATTCTGACCCGTTGAAGTGCAGTTGAAAATAAATATACATTAAAATAATGAGAAAGAACAGTAAGATTTATAATTCAGTGTTCTTATTAATTATTTTTATTTTTAAAAACAGTGCTCAATACAATTCTGTAGAGCATAAACATTATAAATTTACCAATTCAAAAATATGGTCCCATCACTACACAGGAATTACCATGTTTCAAAAACACAAACTAAAAATTTAAATTTAATTATAGAATTAAATTAAAATTGCTAGAACTGTTTCATTTTCAAGGGATTTTTGGAATAACTTATTTTGAAATTTACTGAGATTTATAAACACATTCATTCTTAGTATTAGTTGTTAACATTATGGGAAATGATAAGGACTGGTAGGATATTCATTTTCATAGACAACCTGTGTATCAAAATATGAGTTACTTTCAAAATTAGGTTAAGTTAACATAGGGTAGGAGTGCCTGTTCAACAAATGATGACATCTGTTTTTTGCATGTCATTTGGGGTTTTTTTTTGAATGACAAAAGTTTTTTGACATTTTTATCTTGCCATTTAATTTATAATTGTATACACAAAGATTTTTTCAAAAGGGTTGTTTGAAAATGAGTACATCGTATTTTTAATATTCAAAATCTATTCCTACAATTTTAAATTATTATTCCTAATTACTAATAGACTATACATTTTTAAAATAAAAAAATATATTAGAATTACTTTCTTATTTAAAAATCATTATTCAAAGATCAAGTATAAATATGTATGCTTCATTTTTCATCTTTTTCGTTTTTTCCATTTAATCATTATTTAAGGAAAATCTTTTACAGTGTCTGCAAAAAATGGCTATTTCATTTCTTTGATTAAGTAAATTTTAATTTTTCAAAAAATTAATAATGTATAATTTCTCATGTATGCACAAAGGGCATGGATCATTTAATGACCTACAAACTCTAGCTTTTCTTTTATCAATTTCCATTTTACAGTAGGTCAGTTATTCAAAACAATACATTTTCTGACAAAAATAATTTTACCAATAACAAACTTTTGTGTTTAAAAATTATTTCTATTTTTCTGATGTCAAAGAATTTTCACATTCCTCATTCCCCAGGGCATATTTTCATTCTGGCCTTGAGGATTTATAACAATTCTATTTGCCCTTCAGTTTATCAGAGAAAAAAAATTTTCTCTTTTTTCCTTTGCTCCATATTTCGATTCATGTTTTCATCTTAACGATTTTAACATTTTTTAACCCTTCCAGTTCTCCAATTCCCATATGGGACTTTCACACAAACCCTTTTAATCCTAATTTTATACTACCAGTGTCACAATATTGTTACCTCTCCCTTTCAAGACAATTCTTTTTTATGTATAGAGAAGTATATGCCTATTTAAATGAATATTGAAGCTAACTTCTGGTTAAGAAAATAAAGTACACAAAAGCCTGACCCAATTTCCAAAATCTGAACAAATGATGAAACTAAAGAATTGTTTTTAATTTCTTCTGTTTAGGCTGGAAAAATTTCAACATCTCTTCATATTTTTTTTTCTATCCATTTTTTTACATGTACCTTAAACTTTTTATTTGTTTACAATGCTTTTGTCTGATATATTAATCTTCCTTCAAATAAAATCATGGAAATTCAGAGGATAAAGAATAAATATAAAAGATTGAGTTTTTCAAGGTCATTGGCACATTTATGATAAAATAAATACACAAAAATTTGCCTTTCTCCCTGCTGGGTGTTGATAGCCTAGGGGTTAGATTCTCCAACTGATACCAAATCAGTCAGGTTGTGATCCCAGCTTGAAGCGATCAGATGTCTAGCCTCACTGATGAGCTGTGAAAGAGTGAAACAGTATATCTGTGGATGATTCTATATATATATATATATATATATATATATATATATATATATATATATACCAACTTAATGTTAATTTTTATGAAAAGATGGGCATCGTCATAATGTGTTTCACGCTCACGATTCAGATGACGTGAACAACTTTAGGCCTTTTTTCTTTGTTGCAGTTTTTTGTTGTTTTTGTTCAAGACTTTATCTGAATAAGGATTTTAGGCTTTGGCAAGTTGTCCATTGGTTCCATCAGTGGTTTTATTTTTTCTCTAATATATACATATATATATATATATATATATACTAGCAGTAGAGACCGGCGTTGCCCGGGGATGTAACAGTAAGAGATAGATCAAGTATCGACCATCATAAAGACTGAAAAATAAAATTGACAAAGATTATTGTTTAAGGTTGACGGACATGTCTTAATTAGTTTTTTGTTTTTTTTTTACGAATTGGTCAAAGCCAAACTCAAACAAAAACATTGTTTTCAATCGTTATGAGTCTATTGATTGAATAGAATTTTATTATAAACAATTGTCTTATAAATGGAATTTTTAAAGCATTCTGAATGTAAAAACAAAGAAAAAAGTGTGCAAGACAATAAGAAACACTACCTGCCAAAAAAAAGTGAAGTTTCGTTGAAATTGGTTGAAAAATGTAGAAAATCTGATCCTATATATAAACGAACACACACACACACACACACACACACAAACAACCAACCTGGGTTTTATAATAAGTATAACTCGATATGAGTTGTCCCCCTTTCATTAATGCCTCTTAATCATGTTTTCAAATTGATTTCTTGCAAAAACAATTGTGTTTTTCCAATTTTTGGTGCTGTCGGAACCACCGTAAGGTAATTTTACGTAGTCCTGTGAAGTTTTGTTGAAATCAGTTGAAAAATGTAGGAAATTCGATCCAATATATAAACGAACAGATACACACACACACACACAATCTGGATTTTATAATAAGGATGATATATATATAATATTATTTATAATTAGTAAGGATAATATAAATCCTATCCCCTTTTCTTTTTCTTTTTTCTTTTTCTTTTCTTTTTTCTTTTTCTTTTCTTTATTTTTTTTCCTATGTTCCTTTTTGGATGTATTCCCTCTCTTTTGCTTACGACATCCGGTGAAGAAAGGTCAACCTGTCAGCAATTTCTTAACAACTTTCTTTCTCTTCCTTCCCTTATCTTATTCTCACTCCCCCATGTCTCTGTACATATATATTTCCCTCTCTTTCTCCCTTTTTCTCTCTCTCTTTCCCTTCCCCCATATTAAAACTAAAACCTTATTTTAACATCTATCTCTTCTCTAATGTTTGAAAAGTTCTTTTTTTTTTTTTTTTCTTGTGTCAGGATAAATTTAAAATTCATCTATTGTTGCAAAATTGTTTGGTCTGAAGAGATGGGATCTGATCCCGTGAAATAAATTATACATATATACATACATATATATATATATATATGTGTGTGTGTGTGTGTGTGTGTGTGTGTGTGTGTGTGTGTGTGTAGAAGTCATTATTTGGTAATTTTAAATCTTTTCTGTTCCAACTAATTATGAAATTTTTTTTAAAGTAAGAAAATGGTGTTTTTTTTTCTACCATTTCCTTTGTCACTTATTTTTTTCTTTATCTCTTTTCTTTTTCCTCCCAGGTAATTATTGACTCTCATTCTTTCATTTCCTCTTCATCTCAATAATTCTTCATAATTTCTTACTCTCTAATATCTATCTTTCTCTTTCTTTTAACATTTTATATCTCTCTTGTTTCTTTTCCAATTTTCTCTCCTGTCACTTTTTAATTTTCATTCTCCTTTAACTCTTTCTTTCTTTCTCTCTTCACGCTTTGTTTTTTTTTTTTTTGTTTTCTCTCTCTATGCCATTCTTTCTATCCACCATCTTTATTAAAAACCATTCCTTCTTTCCTCCCTTTTTATTAAATCAATCTTTCTCTCTCCTCTTTCTTTCTTTCTTTCTTTCTTTCTTTCTCTTCTGTCTATCTTAACATAAAACTTCTTTTTTTCTTTTGCTCTTTATTTCTTTATTTTTCTCAATTATTTTCAGTTCAACACTGAAATATGCTCTCTCTCTTTCTCTCTCTCTGTCTCTCTCTCTCTGCTTCTTTATCATCTCTAATTTATTTACTTCCCTACTTCTTTCTCTTTTTCCTTATCTTACCAATTTCTTCTCACTTTCTTTCCCTTTATTTCTCTCTTTCCCCCCCTCTCTCCCCACCTCCCTCCTTCCCTTTTCTTTCTTTCCCCTCTTTCCACCTCCCTCTCTTTTTTCTTTCCTTTCTCTTTGTTAACTTTAAACTTCAGCTCTCTCCTTCCATCTCTAACATTTTTCTCTGCTTCTCTTGCATTCCTTTTCTTCCTCTCTCTCTCTATTTCTCTCTCTCATTCTTTTTCACCTCCTTCCCACCATTTTTTTCTCTCTTGAATTCCCTTCCCATTAACCTTAACAGCAAATAACATGATCAAAATGGTACTTAATAAAAATAGCACTTTCAATTAAATATTGATGAAGAAATTCTTCCCTTCTCATCCTTTTCAATTTCATTCTATCTTTTTTTTATATACTTTGTACAGCAGGGGCAAAGGGTAGGAGTTGAAATCCTCAGTGTGGTATGGGGGAGGGGGCTAAGAAAGGGGAAATGAAAAGAAAAGAATTTAAGTGATGAAGAGGAAAGCTAAGAAAAGCAGAAAAGTTTCAAGAAAAATCAATTAAGCCTACTTAATGTTTAGTGGGATCTTTTTCTATTATTTGATTGGAATTTCTTCTTTTTTTTTTTTTTTTTGGCTTTCTTAATGGTAAAAGTGGTATGACACCAACTGCCATCTCACCATCACTAACACCACCACCAGTACCAGCAAGTCTCAGCTAACATCTCCAAGTCATCCTTACCACACACACACACACACACACTATCTGTTTCTCTCTTCCTCAGTTTAATTACTCATTCACCCCACCCTGCGACCGCCTCTGCAATTATTGCTACTGATGTTATTGTGAAACTTCTTTTCCTTCATTCTTCCTCTCCATTATCTTCTTTTTATCATTATTATTATTATTAAATCTCCCCCACCCCTTAACTTTTTCTTGTTGGTGTGCAAAAGTCATCATCTCCATTGCATTAAAAGTAAAATGTGCTGTTTTTAGTGTGGCCTGGCTTTTTTCTCTCTCTCTCTCTCTCTCTCTCTCTCTCTCTCTCTCTCTTACTCCTCCTCTATCCTCTGCAATTCTATTTAGTCATTTATTTATTTATTAATATAGTGGGATGGGGTGCAGAAAAGTTGGGTGGGACTGAAAAAGAAAGGATTTTAAAATAAGTACTGACATCTCTGGTCATTTCGTTGGATTTGGAGAGAAGAAAATCAGGCTAGTTTCCCTAGTGGGAATTAGATCTGACATGCTTTAGACCGCTCGGCCATGTAGGACCTCCTAATGAAACAAAGCCTGAATAGTTCTTTTGAGGACATACCTTCTTCACGATTCTCGATATATACATATCTGCTCTGTTTTGTATCCTAATGTAAACAAAGACAATTTTTAAAGAAATAGATTAAATCTGGCATATTTTTTAAATTTATTTGTTTAAATGTTATTTTTGAAATGGACACTCATATTTGAGGAGATGCTGTTTTTATTTATTTATTAAGCAGTATATTTGTTTATTTACATCTACTGGCAGCCTAAGGCACCTCAGATCTAATGATGGTTTACCCCTACAGGACATCAGATCTAATTACAGTTTTCCCCAAGGGGACTCAGGTTCAAATTCTGCCAGAGGGCACATATATTTCTAACAAGATTTCTCAAATATTCAGGCCAGTAGTTGTAAATAAATATACTGTTTAATAAATACATAAACCATCAAATATGAGTATCCATTTCAAAAATAACGTTTAAACAAATAAATTAAAAAATCTGTCAAATTTAATCCATTTATTAATATATATATATATATATATATATATATATATATATATATAATAATAATAATAATAATAATAAAATAAAATTATTTTAACCAATTTCTTTTTGAATTTTTAGGTCTGATGAATTGGATCATAATTGTGATTCCAATGTAATAAATTATAACCATGGAATATTAGTGTTTAAGCCTATTTATTATATTCTTACTCTGTCCTGGACATTGAGTTCTACCTGGATTCTATCCTCTTGGAATTTTTATATATATATGTGTATGTGTATGTATGTATATATATATGTATTTATATATTTTAGATATATATATGTATATATATATATGTGTGTATATTAGCAACTTATATTATATATACATATATATATATATATATATATATATATATGTTCATTTCAATGTCTGATTAAACAATTTAGACATGTGTTTGTTTCTTTTCAATAATATCCTTTCAGAATCACAAATAGTCTTTATTGTTTCATGATTAAAGAGAGAAGAAAAGTACTATGATTATATTATTATATTTTTATGAATACTTTCAATAAATTCCAGTATAACCATCAGGGTTATAATGGCAAAGATAAGTATTTGTATTTGTTTAAAATAATTTTTTTCTTTTGTGGTTAAAC